TGACAGAGATTGAGTGAGATGCTCAGGACTTTTGAACTTGTGACTGCCTTTTGTGAGAAAATGTTTTCCCCAAGACTGAGGAAGCAGGTTGATAAAGTGCAAGAGAGAATCCAAAAAGTCTTAAGAAGGGAATATTGTAAGCATGAGTAGCAATGTGCCTTGGTATTGCGAGTTTTTCTTCTTTTCAGTACATGAATTCCTTCTTCTGAACATTGCCATATAATTCCTTTCAGATTCTGAGACTCCAGAAACATGTCTTATCAACAGCAGCAGTGCAAGCAGCCCTGCCAGCCGCCTCCTGTGGTCATAACTCCAAAGTGCCCTGAACCATGCCCACCTCCAAAATGCCCGGAGCCGTGCCCACCTCCAAAGTGCCCTGAGCCATGCCCACCTCCACAACAGCAATGCCCTCCTGTGCATCCTGCCCCATCCTGCCAGCAGAAGTACCCACCCAAGAACAAGTAACACCATCAGGAGTCCTCAGTTCATGAAAAGGGAAGGAAATCTGGCTCATCTCCTTCTATGACAGCACCTTCTTCTCCTCAAAGTGTTTCAGGAACACCGAACAGCCTTCTTCATCCTTTCACCTGTAATCTGTCTCCAACGATTCCTCTCTCCCAGCCAGAGGAACTCTCATCTCTCCCTTGGTCCCATGCCATGATGTCTTCTGAGCATGTCTGGCACCTGCGCAAGGATTGCTATTGCCAGAGAAATGAAAAATAACCTTTACATCGTGAATAAAATACAGTATTTTTTGTGAGAGGAGAAATATTTTCTTTTTCTAAAGTCACCTGTATTAGCAATACCGTATCATTTTGGTTTATTTGGATCTCTATTTAATCATGAGGTATGGCTCTCAAAATTGAGTTGTCTGAATCTTGGGGCATGCAAAGTAAACTTCAAAGTCAAGTTATTTTCCTTGACTAATGTCTCACTTTCTCAGGAACACATTTAACTCTTCTAGTTTCAATCACTTTATCACAATGCATGGGAACTGACATTCACACTACAAGCTTTTCTTTTGCATTAAATTGAGGTAACACACATATTTTCTTGGCATAATGCCTCACACCTATTAATACTCATTAAGAATATGCCTACCAGCAATAGTAGAACATGATTATTCCTATCATTATCATCATGGCCACCATGCACATAATTGTTTGACCAAGAAAATGTCTGTTTAAGTAGTGTTGGAGGAAAAACAAATTATATTTATTTTAATTTATTTATCTATTTTTAATTGTTTTATTTTAAAGAGATTAAGACAAAAGAGGACAAATCAAGTCAGATCAGATCAGAACAATGCAAGAAACACACCATTTTACCACAAAACAACTCATAATTAACAATAAGAACCATAGTGTCTCTGTCTTGGAAATAGTTGAGCATAACTTCATATTCAATAGTATCAAGAATAACAAAAAAGTATAACACCATTCCAGAGAATGAAAGCATTACATGGCTTTCAGAAGCAAATAGCAGAGAATGAATAATGGCTACTATATCATCTCATTAACCATGGAAAATTTGTTTATATTATCACATGTAATAATATCCAATAAGGGATAACAGGATAGAACCAAAGGCAACAGAACAACAAAAGCATAGTAGGACCACAGAGTAAAGTGATACTAAGTCAGATCTGGCTCTTCTAATGTCTTTAAAGAAGGAATTGAGCACTAATTAAAAATCAAATGAAAATTCAAATACCACATATGGAATCCTGTGGGATGCAAAGAAAGCAATCCAAAGAGGGAAATTTATAGCAATGTATTCCCACATTAGGAAAAACTGAAGTTGTATAAATAAACAACTAATGTTACACATGAAGCTTTGGGAAAAAGAAGAAGTCAAGCCCAAAACCCACACAAGGGAGAAAATTATAAGGATCCGAGCAGAAATTAACAATGTGAAATGAGGAGAACCAGCAGCTACTGAAGATCAGGGCATGGTGGACGTGGGTGGCTGCACAAGAAGGCAATTTGCCCACCCTCTTGATAAGAGACCCTGGTGCTGGCCGGGAGTACAACCTGCGGCTACTGGAGATCTGACCCTGGTGGGACTAGGGAGCAGCGACCTGCACAAGAAGACAAATTGCCCTCCCTCTTAGCTAGTGGCCCTGGTACTGGCCCGAAGAAGTCCTTCAGCTGTTCCTCTGAGCCTACAGGCAGGTAGACTGAGAATCAAACATCTGCCCCCTCCCCCATCAAAATTTAACATTATGCCCAATGTTATGAGTCATGCCCAGATGTACATGATGTGAATCAAAATATCAACTTAAATATTTGTCATGGTATTCATTTCTAAATAATTTTCTTTCATGATATTAAGGATGCTGCCTTAATGTGTTTCATCATTTTTCTGCCTCAGTAAGTTTGTGAAAAGATGATGGAGAGTGAGTCTGAAGTTTGAGAATAAAAGCAGAGGGCATTAAGACAAGGGACTGTATGACTGCCAACTATCTCAGAACTGCTGCCAAAATTCTGTTACCTTATATTAATTTCACCCATATATCACTACAGAATGTTGATAGTTAAGGATTGTTGTGTCTGTAGAAGTAAAATTTAAAGAAGTAAGAATTACACAAAAATAATAATAAACCTTGATCTTTCTTGCCATTCTCCATATAGTAATGATTCATAGTAAAATTATTCCAAATTAGGACATAGATATACAGCAGAATTGACAGAAATTTTATTGCTCTCTTGAAGATTATAAAACTTAGTTCATTCAATATGTACAGTAACCATAAATAGATTGGTAAGCACAGATAGGTAGATATACCTATAGATACATACGTAGATAGGTCGGTAGATAGAGAAGTAGATAGATAGTGAAATAGGTAGATAGAAAGATAGATAGAAAGATAGATAGATAGATAGATAGATAGATAGATAGATAGATAGACAGACAGATAGACACACAGGGTTCATGAGTGTGTGTGTGTTTGTGTGTGTGTGTGTGGTGTGTGTAGTTGTGTGTGTAGGTGTAAGCTGCATGTATGCTGTGTACCTGCCTCTGATCTTTCAGGTAAAGTTAGAGAAACATCAGTGGAATATTACCTTTTATCTCCAGAAACTCCTCATGCATCCAATCTGTGAGTAACTGTTTGAATTCACCACGTGAAACTGTGGCATGTCTGTGACTACTAGGACTTTGATGCCTTCCATGCAATCATGCAGTCCATTTGAATAGGTATATCCAACAGAGTGTGAAGGCGTTGCCAAAACTGTGTTATGTCACATTTTTAACTCTTTCTAGATGGATCACCCTGAATTTTTAAATAGTAGAAATCACGTACGTATGTAAAGGTTTTTCTTTCAGCCACAGAAATGTGAGAAGCACTAAGGAATGAATTCAATTAAAGTCCCTTTACACTGCCCGTTACTCACTGGCATGGATAATATTCTATAAGAACCCAGTACTGACGACATAATGAGTACAAAGCTTACCTCGCCATGCTGCAGTGGTAGGGCTATCTGTCCCTGTAGGGTCATGGCAAGAGTTGATCCCACCAAAAGTCCTTCCTTACTGGCAGGAGCAATGATGGTTCTGGGAGTGTCTCCTGCTTAACTGAGCAGGTGTGACAGAGGGCTGACTCAATGTTCTTGTAGTTCCTGGAGCACAGATGCTGACTGCCATAGAGAATTTGAATGTTCCTTCTTCAATTAGAATACCACATTTGTAGAGTCTGTCTACATTATCTAAACAAGACAACATCGCTGAAATATTTCACTCTCAATTTTTCACCATTCTCTTGAGTGAATGAAGACTTGTAAAAGAAAAGTTCTTGAACGCATTGATAACATAAGTCTTGATTGAATAAGATGTCCTGAGATGGACAGACAAGGCAGAAAAGTGGGGAGATGGAGGACAGCAGGATTTGGTGAAGGCTAGGAGCTGACAGCGTAGACAAAGAGTGCTTACAAAAACTATCTTTATATATTTAAATCTCTTTGGAAAGACAATGTGAGTAATCCAAAATAGATCATCAGGGTATCTTCATTCTTCTACATCTGGTTTCAGACATTTGATGGTCTGATCCTCTCTATGTCTCAGGTCTGCCCTTACTTGTTCACAGGAGATGATCTGAGTTTCGCCATCTTGCTTTGTACTACAGGGAACATCAGAGAGGACCACATGGATTCCCTTCAAAAATTAAGTTGAGAATAAATAATTGTGATTTTTGTTCACTTTCCCTTGTTTCCTTAAGATGGGGATGGAGAACACTCATATAAAGGCAAACAAGCAAACAAACACACACAAACCTAAAAGGGCTCATATACACCTCCAGGCAGGAAGAAAGGGAAATGGCACTGAGCAGTCCTGATCCACTCTAACATCAAAATCTTTCCTTGGGGAAAAGTGCCTTACATGAAGACAGAGAGAGAACAGATGCTAAGACAAACAGAAAAATGTGAAATCTGGGGTGATTTCCATAAATGAAAGTGGTGCAGGTGCAAATTTAATATATATGTAGCTGCAAGAATTGGTTCAATGAACTTATTACCCTCTGTGAGTGGCAAGTGTTTGTTTCCTCTGTTCATACAAAAAGACTCAAACTCACAGGGCAGACCTGCCCTGCCCTGTCACATGTGGTTTGTTAGAGATGGAACTAGAACCAGCTCACAGTGTCATTTTAGATCTCTCCTTTTCTCTAGCAGACCTACATACTGTGAAGAGAGACTATGAAAATGGACTTAAGTACCAAAATGTAGCCATCAATTTAAGCACAATAAAGACATCAAACAGTCTTGAGATTCAAAGATGTCAAAAAGTAGGAGGGGATTATCGTCCCAAGAAAGATAGAGATCCTTTGAGAACCTGTTGGAAAAACCTTCAAATTCCCACACAACCATCAGGTAAATGAAACAGACTGCTCCGGTGGACTCTGATTCACAAGCAGTTAATGCAGTGATGGGATTCTGGAGCAGGTTTTTATTACTTTGCAAAGTACCTGTCAAGCCAGTTATGGATGGATTTGCATTTAGCTTAGGAAATGTCTGGGCCAGCCCAAGGCTTGGAACTTCCACTTCCCCTTGGGTGGGGAAGAAAGCCCTATAAAGAGGTCCTCCAGCACACAGCTGCTATCCTTCTGGCAGTAGAGTCCCAAACTGCTCTCCAGAAACCGGTGAGTCTGGTATGTGGAGGGGGTCTGTTTCTTGCTGTCCTCAGTTATTTGTTGAATATAATCTGAGACAGCAAGGCGGGTGTGCATACTTTATGATTATATGATGGATGTTACTTCAGTGATGGAAACTTAAGTTTAGGTAAAATGATACAATATTATGAGCTTCATTTCCTTTTGTTGGGTGGACAACTCGATATCTACATGGAACTCTCATGTAATGGGGAAGCCTGGACTTGATTTAAAAGACTGAATGAAGTAGTTTTCTCTTTGCCATACAATTTGGGGTTCCTTTAAAAGGGGTATGACTTAATCTGCTGTGAGATCCTTCAATTCTTTCTGTGTAGCTATTGCTCTTTTCTCTAATGTGCCCAGTGAAGTTCTCAGGGGATAATCATGACAGGGATTGAGTGAGATGCTCAGGACTTTTGAACTTGTGACTGCATTTTGTGAGAAAATGTTTTCCCCAAGACTGAGGAAGCAGGTTCATAAAGTGCAAGAGAAAATCCAAAAAGTCTTAAGAAGGGAATACTGTAAGCATGAGTAGAAATGTGCCTTGGTATTGTGTAAGTTCTTCTTTTCAGTACATGAATTCCTTCTTCTGAACATTGCTGTATAATTCCTTTCAGATTCTGAGACTCCAGAAACATGTCTTATCAACAGCAGCAGTGCAAGCAGCCCTGCCAGCCACCTCCTGTGGTCATAACTCCAAAGTGCCCTGAGCCATGCCCACCTCCAAAATGCCCGGAGCCGTGCCCACCTCCAAAGTGTCCTGAGCCATGCCCACCTCCACAACAGCAATGCCCTCCTGTGCATCCTGCCCCACCCTGCCAGCAGAAGTACCCACCCAAGAACAAGTAACAACATCAGCAGTCCTCAGGTCATGAAAAAGGAAGGAAATCTGGCTCACCTCCTTCTATGGCAGCACCTTCTTCTCTTCAAAGTGTTTCATGAGCACAGAAGAGCCTTCTTCATCCTTTCAGCTGTAATCTGCCTCCAAGGATTTCTCTCTCCCATCCAGAGGAACTCTCATCTCTCCCTTGGTCCCATCCCATGATGTCTCCTGAGCCTCTCTGTTACCTGGGCAGGGATTTCTATCTCCTGGGAGATTAAAACTAAACTTTCACATCCTGATTAAAGTACAGTATTATTTGTGAGAGCAGACATATTTTCTTCCTACTAAAGTCAGCTATATTAGCAATACCGTATCATTTTGCTTTATTTGGATCTCTGTTTAATCATGAGGTCTGGCTCCCAAAATTGTGTTGTCTGAATCTTGGGACATGTAAAGTTAATCTCATCATTTCAAAGTCAAAGTATTTTCCTTGATTAATGTCTCACTGTTCTCAGGAATACATTTAACTCCTCAGAGTTTCAATCACTCTATCACAATGCATGGGAACTATCAATCACACTATAAGCTTTTCTTTTGCATAAAATTGAGGTAACACACATACTTGCTTGGCACAATGCCTGACATCCATTAATGCTCATTAAGTATATGCTTACTAGCAATAGTATAACCTGATTATTCCTATCATTATTGTCATGGCCATCATGCCCATAATTGACCCATGAAGAAAGTGTCTCTACATAAGTAGTGTTGGATTTGAAACAAATTGTAGTCTTAACAAGAATTACATTCTTTATCAAGAAACTTTCAATTCAAAAGTTTTTACTGGTAGAATTGGAGTAGGATGCTAATTAAGCACACAAAAAGCATTTGGTATGCTTCTCCAGCTGTTAAGATTTCTTCCCATGTCTCTGCAAATCTGGAGAAAAGCTTCTATTGCCATTATTCAGAGGAGAATCATCTGTGCACTCTGAGCTAAAATCATTTTAAGGAGCTAAGCCTTCATCTCTTAGATCACCAGGAAATTTTGTGATCTCAAAATACTATCACTAAGAGAGTGCATTAACCTTTTATCATCAATTTGCAGTATATTAGCAAGATCTTTTCTTACAATTGCCAAAAATAATTCCATCTTTCCTTATGACAAATAGAGGTTGGATAGTAGCCAAAGAAATCTTCAGAAAAGCACACTGAGTTTATGACATTCTAGTCAATCCTATGAGAACCTCATTTAAGCCTTCTTCCCTTTAAACAGTGCCCTATGAGGTCTCTCAAGCCTTCCTAAGGGAAAGGACTCAAGTGATATGAAGAGAATCACCAGGACTCAGGCCTGTCCTTCAAGGGGCTTGCAATGTAATGCACAACCCTTTGTTGTTTACCTGTAGCTGATGTATTAAATTTCAAAATGTGGAGAAGAAGATCTCCTTATTCTCTTCATGGATCCATTCTGGTCACTTGGAAACATAAGAAAAGGCATCCATAGCCTTCATTTCAGGAGCTAATGACTAGAAGGTTGAACACTGAAGCCACAGAATGCACAATGCAGGAACACTGAAAGCCTGCAGAAAGTTTGGTTTTGTGGAACTTTCTCTCCCATTTCTTTTGCACTATCTACATATATTTGCAAGAACCACTATAATGTCAGGCAGGGCGTTCCACCAGTTTCCAAAAGCTCTTTTACTGTACCATGACCCAGAAAATTGAGGTCAGATAAAGAGAACAATAAAAGTTAATAAAGAGAACAGCCGAGTGCCAAGACCAGTAGAGGTTACAGATCTTTTTCCTGGTGGTGCATTCTGGCATGTGCTTGGACCCCCAGCCCTCTGGAAGGCTGAGGGCAAGGACTGTATGCTGAAGCCCAGCCAGGGAAATTTAGCGAGCTGGTTAGAGCTGGTCTCAAAACAGAAACTTTTAAAAATAGTCATAGATAATGTCAGTGCAAGAACAATGGGTTCAATCTGTAGCCCCACAAATAACATAACATTTTTTTAAAAAATTTAAAAATAGATAAATAGAAATTCAAAAGCATAGTAGGACTTCAGAGTAAGATGATACTAAATGAGCTCTGACTATTCTAATGCCTTCTTTTCTTTAACATGAACTAAGTTTTTGGTGAACTTCATTTTAAAGTTTTTGATGAATTAAGTGAGTAATGCACAGTGTAAAGAGATTTTACTTAAATACATTCCTCAATGCCTCTCACATTTCCTTGGCTGAAAGACAAACCTTTACAGACGTATGTGATTTCTACTATTAAAAAATCAGGGTGATTCATCTAGAAAGAGTTAAAAATGTGACATAACACAGTTTGGGGAACACCTTCATACTCGATTGGATATATCTATTCAATGGACTGCATCATTGCATGGAAGGCATCAATGTCCTAGCAGTCACACTGATGTCACAGTTTCACGTGGCGATTTCAAACATTGAGTTATTCACAGATTAGCTAGATTAGGAGTTACTGGAGATAAAGGGTAGTATTGCACTGGTGTTTCTTGAGCTTTACATGGAAGATCTGAGACAGGAATACAGCGTACTCACAGCTTACACCTCTCTCTCTCTCTCTCTCTCTCACACACACACACACACACATACACACACACACACACAATCATGAGGCCTGTCTGTCTATCTATCTATCTATCTATCTATCTATCTATCTATCTATCTATAGATCAATCTATCTCTCTCTCTATTTCTCTATCTATCTACCTATCTATCTATAGATATATCTACCAATCTATACTTACCAATCTATTTATGGTTACTGTACGTATTGAAATAACTAAGTTTTCTAATCTCTATGGGAGTAATAATGTTTCTATCAATTCTTCTCTTTCTATGTCCTAATTTGTGAATAGTTTTACTATGAATCTTTACTATATGGAGAATGGCAAAAAAGAACAAGTTTTTTTATTATTTTTGTCTAATTCTTACTTCTTTTAAATTTTACTGCTACAGACACAACAATGCCTAACTATCAACATTCTGTAGTGATATATCAGTGAAATTAATGTTAGGTAACAGAATTTGGCAGCATTTCTAAGATAGTTGGCTGTCATACAATCCCTTGCCTTAATGCCCTCTAATTTTATTCTCAAACTTAAGACTCACTCTCCATCATTTTTTCACAAATTTACCGAGTCAGAAAAATGATGAAACACATTAAGGCAGCATCCTTAATACCATGAAAGAAAATTATTTAAAAATGAATACCATGACAAATATTTAAGTTGACATTTTCATTCACATGATGTAAATCTGGGCATTACTCATAACATTGGGTATAATGTTAAACATTACTGTTATAGTTACAAAACCTTTTTATAATTTATTATAACCTTTAAAGAATTTTCTTTTGCTTTCAAAACATTCTCCAAGTATGTGTCCATCAGTTCGAGACCAGATAGTATGTGATATATATACACAATGGAATCCTCTTGATCAGATGATTATATAATTTTTGGCTTTGACTCTGTTGCTATGGTACAGTACATTTATCAATTTGTTTGTGCTGAACCATCCTTGCGTTTCTGGGATGAATCCCACTTGGTCATGTTCTGTAATCTTATGATTTTCTGATTTCTATTTGCTAGTATTTTATTAAGGATTTTTGAATCTCTGTGCATTAGAGATATTGGCATGTTTTTCTCTTATTTGGTTGGATCTTTCTCTGGTTTTGGAATTATAGTATTACTTGCCTCCAGAAATGCATTAGGAAGCATTGTTTCTCTTTCAGTTTCTTTAAAGATTTTGAGAAGTCCAAATGTTAAATCTTCTCTAAATTTCTTATAGAATTCAGCTGTGAATCCATGAGGTCCCAGGCTTTAACAAGTTAGTAACTGTTTAATTTTTCTTCAATTTCATTAATTGACATTGAGTTACTCTAAACTTTTATATATTCTTTCAGCATTGGTAATTCATGTTTCCAAGAATCCATCTGTTTCTTCTATGCTTTTTATTTGATGTAAGTAAAGATTTTCAAAATTAGTATTGGTAATCCTTTGAATTTCCACAGAATCGGTAGTGATTTCACCCTTTTCGTTCCTTATTTTATGAATTTGAGTTTTTAAATTATCTTTTCTTGATAAGGTTGAATGGGGTTTATAAATTTTGGCTTTTGTTTCAAAGAAAAAACTTTTCAATTCATTAATTCTTTGTATTATTTTCTTAGTTTCACATTTTTTAAAAACTTTATTTAGAATGTCGTGAAAGTACAACAGAACAAGACAGAGCAAAGCCAATCAAGACAAGGCAGTGACATTTGTACAGAACTTCACAGCAGGATACTGGGATAGTAGTAATAGGTAGTATAGTATATCTTCTTATCTTCACAATAGTTCTCCATTCAACTAGATATAGCAAAATTAAACCAATAACAGAACATATAAAACCAATCCAAGGAGAATATTAAATAGAGCAAAACAATCATTATAACATAACAGTGAAAATATCCTCGGCCTTCAAACAGAAAAGTAGGAAAACCTCCATATTTGCAATATTGCCTATGGTTATCCTCCCAAGAGATGCTCTGACCTCTGTCCCCAGTTGCTGATGTGGGAGGGGGCAGATGTTTGATTCTCAGTCTACCTGCCTGTAGGCTCACGTGAACAGCTAATGGACTTCTTCAGGCCAGTGCCAGGGCACTAGCTAAGAGGGAGGGCACTTTGTCTTCTTGTGCAGCTCCCTACTCCCTAGTGCCACCAGGGTCAGATCTCCAGTAGCCGCAGGTTGTACTCCTGACCAGCACCAGGGTCTCTTATCAAGAGGGTGGGCAAATTGCCTTCCTGTGCAGCCACCCACGTCCACCATGCCCTGGTCTTCAGTAGCTGCTGGTCCTCCTCATTTCACATTGTTAATTTCTGCTCGGATCCTTATAATTTTCTGTCTTGTGTGGGTTTTGGGCTTGACTTCTTCTTTTTCCCAAAGCTTCGTGTGTAACATTAGTTGTTTATTTATACAACTTCATTTTTCCTAATGTGGGAATATATTCTATAAATTTCCCTCTTTGGATTGCTTTCTTTGCATCTCACAGGATTCCATAAGTGGTATTTGAATTTCCATTTGATTTTTAATTAGTGCTAAATTCCTTCTTTAAAGACATTAGAAGAGCCAGGTCTGATTTAGTATCACTTTACTCTGAGGTCCTACTATGCTTTTGTTGTTCTGTTGCCTTTGGTTCTATCCTGTTATATCTTATTGGATATTATTATGTGTGATAATATAAACAAATTTTCCATGGAAAATGAGATGATATAGTAGCCATTGTCCATTCTCTGCTAT